AGGGGCACCAGGAGCTGTTTTATCCAGCAGCCCAACCAATGAGTACGGCTCTGGCTTCGTTATCTGAAAACAGAAATGCAGGGGGAGGCGTCCAGATGGAGGGGAGTGTCGATTCGTGACGTCAGGAGCCACCTGACTGAAGCCCCAGGCTGGGACTTGAGAAGGGAAAGATCTGCGAGAGGCCGACACTGCAGCTCACCCAGGGAGACCTCCAAAAGCTCAGGGTCCTCAGGGTGGCGCGGGCACCGCTGCGGCTTTCATGAGTTGCCGTTTAGGGATGGCTTCTGGGCCTGAGTGGTCTGAGGAAAGACGGAAGCAGCCTTATCAAGTCCAGCACAGCCTCCTATATGAACTCAAGGAGCGGGGAGAGCACTGAGCAAAGAAATCACGCTTATTTTCTCTTCCTCTGACTGCATGAGGGCACGGGAGTTTCCCCACCGATGCACTGACTCTCTTCAGTGTCTGTGTTTGGACGGCATTCTGCAGAGAGACTCCAAAGCAGATCTCCCTCCACCAGCCCCACCCAATCCAGTGGGAAATGTGTTTGGTTCTTTTTTCACGATGTAGCACGAATCAGAACACTATCACCCCCCACAGTTACCTTCCCTTTCACCTGGATTACTGCGCCGGCCTCCACAGTTAGTTCTCAACCCAGCAACTGGCTTGGGAACAATTTACTGGGGTCCTGTCTCCCTCCTGTTCAGTTATCTGTCACGGGATACACCTCATATAAGATGGAAAATCCTCACCATTGCCCTGTCTCATGCGGCCTGGGCCACATGCCGCCCTGACCTCCCTGCCCCCTCTTCCTCCCTTTCCTGCTTCCACCCTGTGAGACTCCTTGCTTTGCAAAGGCTATTTCTTGTGCCTGGAAATTATTCTCAAAAATACCCACAAGGCTCAGTATCTCACCTCCTTTGTTTGCTTAATTGCTCTTATTTAGGAAGACTATTATCGCACTTGTAACGTTACATCCCTTCCCCCCGTCTTTCCAGTACCCTCATCTTTCCTTCTTTCCGTTGTGTCTGACATTATAACATTTTATGTAATTTAGGGGCACCTGGATGGCTCCATTGGTTGAGTGTCTGACTCTTGATTTTGGCTCAGGTCATGATCCCAGGGTCGTGGGATCAAGCCTAAGTTGGGCTATGCGTCGAGCGTAGAGCCGGCTTAAGACTCTCCCTCTCTCTTTTTCCCTCTGCCCCTCTCCCCTGCTGGTGCTCTCCCTCTCTAAAATGAAATCAAAACTTTGACATACTATATAATTTATAAATTTATGTTTTCTGTCTTCCTTGATTAAAGAATAAGGTCTATGAGGGCATAGGTCTCTGTCTCTCTCTCTTTTTAATGTTTATTCATTTTGGGGAGACAAAGAGAGACAGTGTGAGCAGGGGAGGGGCAGGGAGAGAGAGGGAGACAGAATCTGAAGCAGGCTCCAGGCTCTGAGCTGTCAGCACGGAGCCCAATGTGGGGCTTGAATCCACGAACCAAGAGATCATGACCTGAGCCAAAGTTGGATGCTTAACCAACTGAGCCACCCAGGTGCCCCGTAGGTCTTTGTCTCTTGTTTCCTGATGTCTCCTATGTACCTATGATAGTGCCTGAAATCCACTAGTTGTTCACTGAACATTTGTTGGGTTTGCAAATAAACAGGATTGCCCCAACGTTTTTCTTTTTTTAATTTTATTTCTTCCCTCCCTCCCTCCACTGTTCTGACAACTCTTTCTAAATAGCCTCTATACCAATTTCTTGGCATGGGTATTCCTTGTTGGTTTCAGAATTAAAAGGAATCACATTTTTGAGACAAAAACCTGAGGGTTGCCCAGGCCCCATCATGGCCATGTGCTCAGCTTCATTCACTGCCCAGGCTTCAGAGTTCCCAATGACCTTTGTCATAGATGTGTTTTCCCTGAGGTATCTCCATTAACTTCTCATAGTGACATAATCCTTAGTAATAGCATTCGGTAATTTCCACATTTAACAAATGGTTTTCTGACAATCTGCACTCCCCTTGCAGACACTGTCGGTGCAATTACAAGTGAAATGGTAATCACTTCTGAACACAAAGAGATCATGGAAACCCAAACCTTGTCTCGAGTTCAGATGCCTGCCTTCTGCACCTGCATAGGCTGCCCCCACACCTACTGTCCTGACAGCAGATGCCCCCTGGGTAAGTAGTTTTATTTATGTCAGAGAAGTTTAAATTACTCAAAGAAAAATACCTGAGTAAATCCAGTCATAAATGTTCTCTGTAATTTCTTTCTGGTTTTGAACACAAAAAAATATTTTTGTATATACAGGACAGGAGTTTGCTCAGAACCATAGGCATATTGCCACCCTTGTCTCCCTGTATTGGGACAGCTTAACGTCTT